TAGTGTTGTTCAAAGTACTGCATCCTGGCAGTAAGGTTGAAAGTATGAAGCTATCCGAGGCTACTAGTTCTCATGACTACATGCTACCTCCAGGAGCAATATGCCAGGATGTATCAATGGCTGGGAACGTGGGTGGGAGAATGATGTGGCTTGTGGGCTTCCCAGTCAACTGGCCGACCATTGTCTGAACAGGAGGCTGCACCAGATGAACTCTGGCCTGATGCAGGAGGTCTCTTCTCATGCTTTGCAACAACTTTGCACTGTGGCTGGGCCTGACTGCGACTCTTCTGCAGCCTGAAATCCAGCTGCAGCCAAGAGCAGCTTTTCAACAGCCCTGCAAGGCATGCTATTAGAATCAGTGCTTTTTTTGTAAGAAAAAAGTTGCCGGGACTCATGAAATTATTTACCTTTCACATGTCGTCAGTCACTGTACACACACCCACACACGTCAGTTGTGTAACGAAACATAATGGTCGCTGCCCTCAGTAAGCACTCAGCGCGCGGCCACATGACCAATCACAAGCCGAGCAGCGTCATCACACCCAGCGCGGACAAAGTGCGCATGCATCGGATTCGACACACAAGCAGCCCACATGCAGCGTTTTAATGATTTTGCCACCAACCTGCTATGCCCGACAGGGCTATTCGAATCCACGTGGACCAAACATCAAATTTTCAAAAGTTACTTTTAAAACTTGGAAAATCTGTTGAGAAAAGGTGCCGGAACTCCATTCCAGTGTGTTCTGTGACAAAAAAGGCCCTGATTAGAATAACTGCAAATCGGCGAAGTGGGGCAGGGTGGAAGGCTGTATCGACAGTCTCAAAGTTGCCCCTACAAGGCTTTCTTCTAGTCAGCTTTCCCTCATTTGCACCCTTGTTGGACAGCAACTCACTTTGTCCCACAGGTCGATAGGAAATATCACCCGCCCCCCTCCAAACCAGAGGGCTCCTGGTTGGAGAAGAGGGTTTGCAAAGGTTATCTGTCAAGCCACCTCCTTTCTCTGGCCAAATTCAGAGCTCAGCACACAATGCACAGATAAACACGTAGAGGCATGAAAAGTGCAACCCAGGACACACCTACCTGGAAATAAGTCCCACTGAATCCCGTGGGGCTTACTCCAAGGCGAGCATGTTTTGGATGGTATCCTTCATTGAAAGCGAAAACAAGGGCAATCTCATGCATGTTTGACAGCTAAAAGCGGCCTACAACTCCCAGCATGCCAGCAGCTGGGGCATGCTGGGAGTTGTAGGCCTCTTTTTCTAAATACGTCTTGCTCCAAAGAAAATCCGAGGAGGAAAGCGCAGGAATTAACTCCCTTTCTTATTCGGAGCACGGGAGCATTATGCATTACTGTCCCCGGTTCAAGTCCAGCATTGTTCTCCATTGATTCCTATGGGCAGCGCCCACTTCCGCCTCGGGGCGCGAGGTTTTTTTAAATCAGCTCCTGAAACCGGAAGTCAGACTGCTGCACCAGTCGCTTTTTCAAACCTATGACGCAGAGACCGACTCGGCGAGCAAGCGGCGTGGTCTAGTCCTAGACAGGAACGCCCTGTGGGGACGCTCTAGACATTTCTCTACGCCTCTGCGCAGAAGGCCTCAGCGCCCTCTTGAGGCCGGTGGGTCAACTCCGTGGAACTTCAACCCTTCCACAGCCGTCCCATGCTGGCAGACCCCAGATAGGACGGACTGCAATTTCCATCATCCCCAGCTGCGTGGAAACGAGAAGGGTTGCACTCCCGACACCTCTAGGGGGCCTCCTGGCTGGGGAAGGCTGTTCAACAAAGAATACCACCCCCCTTACGCATGCACACCCCTGGCAGGGTGTCAGCAGAAATTCAACCGGTGCAGCCTTCCCATAACCTGGAGGAAAGAGCATTAAGATAACGAGAAAAGCAGGCCGAGTTTGATTTGCCAAGTGGCCAAATTGCCCCTGGGAAGCCCAAAGCAAAAGAGCCTTCCAGATCATGTTCTGTAGCAACTCGTATTTATTTTCTGAAAAGGGAGTGAAGGCTACTGGTTAGAGCAGCCCTCCAAAAGTACTGTTCTACTTTTACTTATTTATTTAAAACCTTTCCATCCTGCTTCTCTACCAAGAAAAGGATCTCGCAAAAGTTGCATCCTGACACTAGGTACAAGTCAGTGCTTACAGAGCAGTCTTGACAATCGAACACTGTCATGACACGAAAGGAAAACCGGATGTGGAGAGAAAAGTGCTGGAAAGCGGTCATCCCGCACTGTGGGTTTTGTCTGGCACTGCTTTTGATTTATTTATATGAATCTGCCAAACAGCTAGACTAGCTCAAAGTCTACCTTTTCCAGTCGGCCCCCGTTCTCTGACACTCAAGAATATACTTCCTAGCTCAAGCAGCCTTTACCAATGTGGTGCTAGCAGCCATCCTGGATGGGCCTGATGGGAGTTGTAGTCACACATCCTGGGAGCACCAGATTGGGGGAGGCTGTTAAGTGTGGTACACACAAGCCCAGCAACCTTCCAATTATCAGATTTTGTATTTCTGGGAGATGGGCTGTGGCTATTCAGAGAACCCCAGAGGGCTAAATTGTCACCTTAGAAGATTTTCATAGCTCCTACAGAGTCTCACCGAGAGTAAGTTTAGTTAGGCTTGGTTTTGCTTCTGAGTAGGCTTGGGCAGAACTGCAATTGGATCTACCTTAAAGGTGCAATTCTGTGCATTTTGGGGCAGGAAAAGGCCCTATGTTTTTTCGGTTCATTCCCATGAACGCCAAAAAGTGATGCTCCCCGAATCTCAAAGAAATGCTCCAGAATGTGAAAATCCTCTTCAGGATCTGGCCGGCAGAGGGCGCCCCTGGGTCTAGGCACTTGCCCGCGCACAGGTGAGTTTACCTGGCTGAAGAACGGACTGTTGTCCGGAAATGAAAAAAGTTGAGTAAGCAGAAGGGAAGGCAGAGCTGGCTCAGCTCTCCACATCCTCTTTCCCCAAACGTCTGGGTGTGAACCGAGCGGACCTTTGAACAGGTGAGGAAGAGGAGGGCAGAAAACCCCTACAGAGAGGGAAGAAAAAAAAACAGACATGAGTAAAAAGCATCACCCCAAAGAAGGGGTGCTGGCATGGGAGGGGAAGTGGGGTTCTGAGTTCTCTGGAGGCCCTTTTTGCAGCAATGCAAAATGTGCTCAGTTGAAGCAGTCCATCCACCTGAAAGGGGGGGGGGCGCAGGTAGGTGGGAAGGCCTGCATACACTGAGGGGGAGCAAAGACAGAGGGGGCCTTGGCGACAAGCTCCACGCTTGGTAACCTCTCGTTGGGATGACCACAATGGGCTGTACGGGGCGCTGCCTTTGAAAACGACCCAGAAACTTCAGCTGGCCCAAAGCAGGGCAGCAAGATTGTTAATGGGGACGCACAGCGCTGTCCTTGTCTGGCTGGACTGGCTGCCGCTTGACATCCGGGTCCAATTCGAAGGGCGAGTTCCCACATGCAAAGCCCGGAGAGGCTCAGGGCCAGGTTTGCGGAAGGGTTGCTCCCATATGTTTCTGCCTGGCCCATGGGCCATCGCTGGGGCTCCTTCTCCAGGACCCGCTTCTAAGGGAAGGGAGGCGAGTGGTGGATGGGCTTTTTGGTTGTGGCACCCCAGTTCTGGAATAAGTTCCCCCAAAAGTGCACCTACTTTGCATCCTTTCTGGCACCGGGCAAAGACTTTCATTTCCCCCAGCATTTTTACAGTTCAAGTAGTTAATGGCATTTTTAAAGATTTAATTTTTTTCTGTACCACTGCTATGCTTCCCTGTTGGGTCATTTCCAATTGCTCTTGCGCTCTTGTCATTTTAAGTTAATTTTATCTTGTTTGTGTGTGCGTGTGTGTTTGCTTTTCTAACCTTTTGTTAACTACCCAGCTATTGGACAGTTTAAGAACAAATGCATGAACGAACGAATGAATTATTGGGGGGCAGCCACCACTAAAGGGGCTCTGCTCAATTTAAGGTCAGCATTTGGAGAGCCTACACTGGAGGGAAAGGGGAAGCCTGGAGGGAAAGTGGGAGTTGGAGTCCTGCAGGACTTGGGGGCCCCATGGAATAGGAGGTGGGGTGCTGGGGATGGCACCCTAAGGACATTACAAAGAGTATCTGATTTCTGATCTTCTGCCGGCAAGATTTGGGTCTGATACTCTGCATTTGGAATGATAACACCGCCACGGGCAGCACGGAAGATTTTGCAAGCCGAACTAATTTGGTCTTCTAATATGGACAGATGGCACAGCCTAATACAATCCTAATACATAATAATAAATTGAATAATTCACAGTCCGCTGCCTACCAGGATACCCCAAATCTGCCCTGAAGCCACTCAGAAACAAGAACCCATTGCAGGTGGGGGGGGGGGCTGCCATTCCACCACCCTTTAATTAGCCTCATCAACAAAGGACATGAACTAACCGTTGTCAGAGAGAAGTTTGGGGCTTGCCACCGTAATGGGAGAGCCCCATGTACTCTGACAATGAATGCAAGTGTGCAGAAAAGGGGTGTTTTGCACACCTCGCTGGCCCTTCCGGCGTTCCAGGCTGGACTCTGGAAAAAGCCCACGTGAAGCCCGCTTCTCCAGGTGTGCCATCTGGGGGTGGGGGGTGGGCAGGATGTAGAGGGCTCCACTCACAGATTGCTGGGTGGGTTGCCTGGCACGGCTGGTCTTACAGCAATCGCTCGTCTCTCGGTTCCTCATCCTTAAGACGGGCCCCCGACTGAGCCCGGCTCTGCTCCGCCGGATGGTTTGCAGAGATGCGCTTGAATCGCTGATCCACGCTAAGCTGTGTGCGGATTATAACTGTGTGTAGACTCAGCAGCAAAGATGTACAACTGATCCCCTGATCCCTGATCCCCCTGTGTGTGCCTGATCCCCCAGCATGTGCCTCCGGGTTGCAGGAGCCTGAATTCGAGGAAACACACATAGGGGAGGGCCTGAGGTCGGGTTTCCTCTGGCTGCCAGCTCCTGTCCGCTTGTCTCTTTAACTCCACTTTCCTCTCCAGGATGCCAGAAGCACCCCTGACGCTGCCGGACCTGATCCGGACCATCCGGGCCGCACGGACCCAGGCAGAGGAGCGGGACCTGGTCCAGCGAGAAAGCGCCAAGATCCGGGGTGCCTTTCGAAGTGATGAGCCGGACGCGCGGGCCTCCAACTTGGCCAAGTTGCTCTACCTTCATATGCTGGGGTATCCTGCTCACTTTGGACAGGTGCGCCTCCACCTGAGAAATTTTACCTTTGTGCCTTTTCTATTTGTACTTCTGTCCCTCCCTGGAAGGCATCCCTGTGTCCTCTGGATGCTTTGGACTACAACTTCCAGCATCCCTGACTAGCGGGCATGCTGGCTGAATCTGATGGGAGTTGAAGTCCATTTGCTCTGGCCCCTAATAATTCACAAAGGCCCAAGTACATTCTACCCCCCACCCCAAAAGGGCTGAATTTTTGAACAGAGAGGTCCGTCTAGTTATGCCTTTATTACAGGGAAATCTGTCTTCATTTGCCCAGGTCTGTGGAGGCCAGATGTGACTTCTCAGTGGTGAAGGGAAAGCACACACTGTGTATGCTCAGAAACACTCTTGCAGGGGTTGAGCTCTGCCATGGGAAACAGGTTCAGGGGCTAAGACCCAGCAAACGCTGAGTGACCAGAGCCCTGAGCCCACGACAAACACCCCTTCTTCAATAAGATTAAAGATCATGGCCATTGCTGGAAAGAAAACTCATTGGCTGATGAACTGGCAGTGCATTTCTGGTCCGTTCTAACCGATTCTTCGATGCAAGGCTGCAGTCCGACCGTAATTCATTCTGCTTTATCCTGGCACAACGCAGATGGAGTGCCTGAAGCTCGTCGCCTCCCCAAAATACCACGAAAAGCGGATCGGCTACCTCGGCGCTGCCCTGCTCCTGGACGAGAAGCATGACACGCACCTTCTCCTGACCAACAGCCTCAAGAAGTGAGGGGGCAGACACGCTGCGGGGGGCCAAGAGCGGGAGGGGCATCTCGCGGGGAACGAGACCAGCTTGAAGGGGATGGCTGAGGGCATGGGTCCAGCCTGGGATTTGGGGTGCGGAGGACTGGAGGCGGGCAGCACCAGCGGTGCAGAGCTGGGGGACCTGATGCCCAGCGGAGCCCTGTCTGGGGATGCTTGGAAGGGTCGTGTTGGGAGATTGGCTAGCCACCCGTTAAATATCTCAGACCACAATTTCCATCCTTCCCAGTCAGCCTGGCCAGTGGAATGATGGGAATTGTGGTCCAGTCCATCTGAAAGGCACCAGATTAAGGCAGGTGGGACCAGGAGAGTCCGGCTTCCGTGGCATCCACTGACGGGAAGCCCGAAGGGTGGAACTGACGGGGTGGGCGAGACAAGGGCCCAAGGAAAGGGAATCGCTTGGAAGCCCCACCCGGAGGGGAAGAGAAGGAAGCATGTGGGTGCCCGAAGGAGACGATGCGGGCTCGGGATCGGGTGCTCGAGACAATCTCTCGTCCCTCACCTTCTCCTCTCCCTCTCCACCAGCGATCTCCGGCACCCCAGTGCCTGGGCCCAGGGCTTGGCACTGAGCGCCCTCGGCACTTTGGGCTCCGCGGCGATGCTCCGAGACTTAGCGGGCGAGGTGGGCCAGCTGGCCAGGATGGGGCAGCTCTCGGTGCGAAGGAAGGTGAGACCGGAGAACAGACCCATAACCCCCGGCAGCTCCCCCTGTTCCTTGAAAACCTCTTCCCAAGCGTTTGCGTCCAAGATTCTGCCTGCCTTTCCTAGCCTGGGGCACCGGGGCACCCACGACTCCCATGCTGGCTGTGAGATCATGGGGATTGTAGTCCAGCATATCTGGAGAGCACCAAGCTGGAGAGGGTGCACCCCTCAGCCCTTGCTTTCTGAACCTTTTCGGTTGATTTCTAGCCCATGGTTCAATTTCCTCCACCATTATTTGCTTGGGTGTGAGCGTGTGTGTTGCGTTTAACTGTATCTTTCAAAAGAAGTGTCTGAAAGCTGCTCATTAGGTTCCAAGATGGGGGCAGGCAGAAGCGCGAAAAAGAGAGGTTCTCCGCCCATGTTCAGAGGTACTCCGGGCCCAATTCAAGGTGTTGGTAATGACCTATAAAGCCCTAAACGGCTTGGGTCCTGGTTACCTGAAGGAGCGCTTATGTCCATATATGCCCAGCCGCCCCTTGAGATCGGCGGGAGAGGCCCTTCTCCGGGAGCCCTCCGTGAAGGAAATTAGGAGGGTGGGTACTCGGAGGAGGGCTTTCTCAGCGGTGGCGCCTAAGTTATGGAACGCACTCCTCAGAGAGGTCTGCCTGGCGCCGTCGTTATTTGTTTTTCGGCGCCAGGCTAAGACCTTTTTATTTAAGCAACATTTTAAATGCTAAATACAATTGAATTTTATCTGGCCAGGGCGGCTTATTTTATAATGTGTGTTTTAATTAAGATTATTTTATATGGATATTTTAACTTATTGTTTTATCTATGTTGTAAGCCGCCCTGAGGCTTTGGCGAATGGGGCGGCATAAAAATGTTTTAATAAATAATAAATAAATAATACTCTTTACTAATTTGAAAGTTGGCCTCAAATTAAGCGGCTATAGGCATTCAGCAGGAAAATGTTTTGCACGTGCTTGGAGGCACTGGTCTTTAACGCCAACCCTGCAAGGCATTCCTGGAAGAAGTGCCATGTTGGGGCCTTAAACCATAAATACCCCACAGCTTAAAGAACAAGCTTCCTTTCCTTTCTGCCTTCTAGGCTATGATTTGTTCTGTACACCTCATCCGGAAGGTGCCGGACCTCACAGATGCGTTCATCCCCGTTGCCGAGAAGCCACTGACCGAACAAACTCAAGGTAAGCCCCCTCGGCCTGGTTGAACCCCCAAATCTGCAAGCCGGTGGGGAGCACAGGCCTGTCCACATGTTACTCAGACACTCGACGACCCGTGGTTGAATGTGTGAACGGGCTCAGTGGCTGAAAAGCAGCTTCCGTGCAAGGCAGGTAGGCGGGCAAAGATTCATTTAAATCTATAAAGAGGAGGCAAGAAACTGCCAGAACAAGCATGAACAACCCATGGTTCAGAACCCAGTGACAAGCCATGGGATCTCTTCATTTATTTGTTTATTAACAGCTTTTCTAGTCCGTTGACCTACTAGCATCTCGGGATGGCTTACAAAAAAGGAGTAGAATAAAACAAACGGCAAAACAACCATGGATTGTTCATGATTAAGAAGGATTGTTCATGCACTTGGGTTCAAACGTCAGCATGGGAGACCATGGCTCAGCAACAACCCATGCTCAGCCCTAGGGTTATTGTGTTGTCTGAACCCACCAGCCCTTCTGCTGTAAGGTACGGGGTTCCTGGGTGGCTTGGTCTTAAACGAGCAGGTAGAACACCTTAACTCTACGAAAGGCCTGGTCTTGGGGCAGGTGAAACCAGCTACACCTGGTTTGTTGGAATGGATCATTGGCCTGCGGTTTTGGGGAAACCCAGGACTCAGGCTACAATGATGTCTGCCTGCCTTTTCCCAGGGCTTCTGCACGCCACGGTTACTTTAATCGCAGAGATGTGTGAAAAAAGCTCGCAAGCCCTGGAACACTTCCGCAAGGTGGGAAAACAGACGTCTCTCTTCCCAGCTTCCTCTGGCACTAATCCACGGGGAGTGCAAATTTTTGGCAACTTTGGGGGTCGTAAAGTGGGCGGGGCAGAGACCTGGGGGCTTCCAAGGGAGCTGTGAGCAGGCAGCCAGTGCCTAGAAGCACCATGTCGGGAGTCCCCAGCTAAGCACACGTACCTGGGAGTAAACACCACCAAAGCCCACGGGTCGAGGATGGAGCCCCCTAGCATGGCAACAGGAAGCAGCTCAGTTCTCGATCTGAAGGCCATTCTAGAGCGAAGTTGGTACGGAAACCCTGACGCCAAAGGGATCCGTGCATCTTCCGTGGAGGCTTTGTGGGCGGAAACATCGGAGGGCGGTTCCTCTCTACCAACTTGCCATTTCTCTTTATTTGCCTAAAGTACGTCTCCCAGTTGGTGGGAATTCTGCGCAACCTGGTGGTGACTGGGTATTCTCCGGATAAAAGTATCTCAGGAATCAGTGACCCTTTCCTGCAGGTAAAGTGCCACCTTTCCCAAGTCATCCCTTTTCCCTTGAACGCGTGTCTTCTCTCTCGTTTCTCAGTGCAAGGAGAGGCAAGAGAAGTTGTTGTCCTTCTTCCCCAGGGCAGGGGTGTGTGTGTGTCTTCCGCTTTCCTGTAGAATGGCTGTGAGGATGCAAAACACCACAAACACCTTGGTTCTTAGGCAAGAGGGTTCAGGCATACGGTTCTAAGGTCTGCTCCTAGCTTGAAGTAGCTTGAGAAGAAAAGGGCAGAAGGGGCCGCTCTCTGTCCAAAGCCTTGGAGAACATTGGCTAAACAGGGTGGCCAGTCCTGGGCTGGACAGACGAGTGGTCCATCTTGAGCTTCACAAAGTGGCGACCATGACCATGTCCTGCAAGCATGGTCAGATGCTCTAGGACAGTGATGGCGAACCTTTTAGGGACCGAGTGCCCAAACGGCAACCCAAAACCCACTTGTTTATCGCAAAGTGCCAACACTGCAACAAAACCCGAAAACTGAGGTTTTAGTTGAGCAAAAACAACTCACAGCCAGTGCAAGCAAGTATATACATATCCCTGGCAGCGCACTGGCTGGCCATGCGAAAGCTCGGATGAGTCACAGCTAATGAGCTGTGGCTTGTGACTTCATTGCCTGGCGCCGCTACTCCTTTCTGAGCATGCGCATGGCCCCTATGCGCCCTGTTATCCAATGCTTGGCTGCTGGGGCGAAGCTGGGGCGACTTGGCTTGTGTGTCCGCTGGGGCACATGTGCCATAGGTTCACCACCACTGGCCTAACCCTACCCTGGTGCACTCCCCTAACCCTAATAGAGGGCTAAAGTTTCATTGAAAAGAGGGCGATTTTGAAAAAGCCTCCCTTGAGTAGCTTTTTCTGCACTGCTCATCATTTCTGCCCATGCTAAACACATTCCAACCATCAAAATCATGCCAGGACACCTCGTTTTTCTAACCCTAACTCTAACCTGGCGCACACCCCTAACCCTAATTCAGGG